TGGGCCCTAAGCTTTTGTCATGAAGGTCCTTGACGCACCTAGCAACACGGGACAATTGAAGCTTGAACTCCTCCTGTTTCTGTGAGTTCTCATTGAGGGCTCCGGACACCCTATCACTGAACTGCTTCAGGTCGGTCGCAGGAACGAGATGCTGAATATACGTCTCGACGTTCCCACGGATGGTTCTTTCCCTTGATATGGTTCCCTCAATGTCGATGACACTGCGAGAGTTCGCCTCAACTTCGTCTTTGATTTTCCGAACTTCAGCCTCAAGAGCTCCGATCTCAGAGAACCTAAGGAGCTGGACCTTGACGTTCTCAAGTGATTCGGCCTGCTCGCGAAGTCCAGCAGCAGATGTGACGATCGAGTCAGATCTCTCATCATACATCTTGAAACGCTCATTCGTCTCCTTCTCGCTTCGGGCGACCCACTCGTGGAAATCACGGAACTTAGCCTCGTGTTTTGAGAGAGTTCCAGCAACGGCAGAGAAAGATGATTCAACCTTCTTCTCGAAGGCGTCAACACGGTTATTGATCTTCTTGATCTCACCGACGCAAGCGTTGATATCATCCCTACATGAACGAATCTCAGTTCTGCACCCCTGGATTTCGGCCTTGCACCCCTTGACCTCGTTGTGGATCGCGAGAAGCAGTCGTTGAAGCTCAGATGCAACAGGATGGCCGCCACTTGTGGAGGCAGACGGAGCAGGACGGCTATCAGCGTCATGATCTCCGCGACTATTTTCTTCCCTGTCAGGAGTGCAGCCCGGAGTTCCGATTTGAAAGAATGCGGGAACGAGGGAGTCGTTAACCGGTTGATTCGAAGGAAGCCCTCCATATCCAGGGGCAACAGCGCTAAGTCCAGGCCTCCGGTTCCTAGGCGTAGAGTTAATCCCGTCATCAGTCTCCTTCTCGGACATCGGGGCATTGGAGCTGAGCCCAGACCCCGCAGAGTGGATAGGAACGTCAATAGGGTCGTGATGAGCTGGGGGATTAGATCGCAGTCGGAGAGCAGCTTCACGTCTCTCGGGTGACTCAGAGCTCCTCTTTGTGGCTCGTGAGTCAGTGCCGGTTTGTCCCGACACATTATCAAATGATGATGATCCGCGAAGTTGAGCTTGATCTGGATTAGGCTGAGTAAGATCAAGCCGTTGAGCAACGTCACCATTGAGTGGCTTAGGGGAAAGTACTTTGGCAACGCGGCTCGGCGGGAGCGATGTAGTTCGTCTCTCTGGTGTGACCTCGGCCTCATCGATTACATCAAGGATCCCAGGAATGGTTTCATCATCTTCATTTCCTCTCCTGGGTGGCTGATGGAAGGGGATGTCGAGGAGGTCAAATGGAGTGGAGCCAATACCAGGTGTATCCTGCTCGGATCCATCGCTGGTACGGTGGCTGGACTGCTCCTCGAGGTCGATGACGTCGGGGGCGGACTCTTTTCGAGTCTGACGCCGATTGAACGCCGCGAAGAGACCGGCATGGCTTCTTGACGAAGAGGAGGAAGGATTTGGGCCTGCTGTTTCGCGGCCCACATCCGATCGATTAGTACCTGATGTCCGATTTGGCGGATTTGAGCCCGCGTTGTAGCGGTTCGCATCCCGACCTCGGGTACCTGAGGAAAGCGGTGGATTCGGACCAGCGTTGTAGCGGTCCGCATTCCGGTCACGGGTACCTGACAGGTGAGATGATACTGCATCAGGGATGAAGTCCATATCCGCCGGACTGGGGTGATCGTGAATGATGTCAATGTCGGATGAACCTGAGACGGGAGGAGGGCCAGCTATTTGCGGCCAATCCTCAATCGCACGTTTGCCCGCCTCGGGTTGGGCCGAACCTGCATTATGAGAAAGGGGGAAATCTTCAATGGGGTCATTTTCTTCATCATGAGGAAAACCCTGAGTAGGCTCATGCGACGGCAGGGAATCAAAGGATCTGTCAATTCGGGAAGGCTGAGACCTCCAATCAGCATCAAAAAGGGATTGAAAATCCAGATTCCCAACCGAAACGGGGGCACCCGAGTTAAAGTCGAGCCGACCGAAATCAGGCGGTGTAGCCTGCGATCCACTGCCGAGGAGTTGGTCAAACTGATCCCATGTAAGGGACCATGATTGAGCCGGCTCCGGATGAGCAGCATGATGGATAGCCCGGTCCTCGATCTGGAGCGCCACGAACGGAACAGTAGGCGAAATCGATGAGGGCACCTGATTTGGAGGAACCTCAGCCTCTTCTAGAGGGGGTCCGTCCTCGATCTGGAGCACTGCCGCCGGGATAGGGGCCTCCGCATCCTCATCAAACACAACCTGAGAAAGGATCCAATCGTCCGTGATCACCCCGGGATTGGGCTCTGCGCCCACCATCGGGGGAATGGGCCACAGCCGGCTGTCTAAGCCGGGGGCAGCAGGCGCGGCGTTGCCGCGAAGGGCGTTGGCCTCGTCGTCCACGAAGCCCGGCCCACGATGAGAAGCTCCGGGGGACGCCATTGCTCGTACAAGTAGGCGATGGGAGCAGGTAGCGGGTCACGTCCCGCAACCGGATCACCAGCCCCAGCTTCTAGCTGGTACGGCTGATAACCTGCGGTTTTGGGCGGAAAGGGCGTTGCCCAGGGAATCAAAAGGGTTCACGTAATCCACGAAGAACCCAAAGAACCCGGACTCACGACTCAGTGGACTGAAGCCGGTGACCAGGTTGAAGGACGTGATGATTGAAGAAGAGGTGGTTGAAGTGAAGGTTAAACAGCAAGTTGCAAAAGATCACCTTAACCAGGCCCAGGCAAGTCCTGCCGCAGCACCACCTACCTCCTAGCACCAGCCCACCCCAGCGCCGAGAGTCCTTTCTCGGCGACGCAGCGAGATGCCGTGCTATGGCGAGTGCCGTGCTACCAAAACTAACCTGACGGGAGGTTAAACTTGAGCCAAACGGCCATTCGGCCGCTTTGCCACATGATGAAACAACACGTGAACAAAACACAGGCTCAATTAAGCCAGGGTCAAAGTGACATAGTGAATGTTTCTGTGCCATCGCTAACCAACAAGAGCAAGAACACTCCAGGCACTTGGACACAAATCCAAAGTGGCTTGAAATGTTCGGACAGCTAGGCAACATCTGGCTACCAAGAGGCGGGGAAGTATCTTGCTGCCCATTTCCAGAACCAACTCTGTCTCAGCTGTTGTGTGATGCCCAGCTTCCACAGAAGCCTCAGGTCATGGCTATATGGCTAGGAACCGGTCTAGCATCTCAAGCTAGACATTTGCAGCTTTCATTAAGAGAGCAACTTTGATCAGCGGCCACTTTACTGCTGTCATTCGGTGAGAAAAGCATCGCTTATACGTTTTACGCCTAGGGGGACAGGATAAATGATATCCTCGGCAGCTTGGTCAATAGTGACGCTCTAGTCATTGTGCCTCACGTTTGTCGTGCAAATGCAGGCATCTTGATGTTTGGGTCCTGGTGTTTGGGCCAAGCCATCAGCTAAGGTCCGCTCAGCCGAAGTTTCAGGTTGGTCTGAAAACCTTCCCCAGGGTGGATTGGCTGCTTGCTTGACTGGCATGATTGCTTGGAACACCCAAACGGCTGGCATCTCAGGAAACTGTGCGGACCCAGTTGGCCCATTGTGGGGCCATCCCCAAGCGAGCAGCTGGTAGCCGCCCTTCTCGGGAGAAGGGTCCAGGAAAGTCCAGCAGGCATAGGCGGTGATGGCTGCGCGCAGGTACGGCCCGCCCTTGGCCAAAGCAAATGCCGTGAAGGTGAGGCATGCGGTGATTGAGTTCAGGGGAAAGGTGCAAAGGAAGGCGGCACAGTATAGTCCATCCATTGCTCCTCCGTGGGAAACAAGAAGCAAAGTGCGACTCTTTGTTTGCGGCCTCTGCAAGTCATGCGCAATATATATATATATAGACTTGTGTATGTTTGGGTGTGCGTGTGTGGGTTCTGTCGTCCAAACTTTGGCATCTTGTCTCTGACCCTTCCTGCTCTGAGCCAGGTGCTCATTGCCTGGCACCCAGTTGTGAGCCCGACTTGGCTTGTGCCTAGAAGTCGGTATTCTTCTCACACTTTGAGCCACAATTTGGACTCTTCCTTGCAGCGAACATGCCCTATTGCAATAGCCAGCCAGACCGATGCCATGCCGCTACCAGAATGACATGTCATAGCCACAACAAGGACGACAACGACAACGATGACGACAACAACAATCACCACCCACAAAGGAAGCACAACAAGCACAACAGCCACAAGAACAAAAAGCACAAGCACAACAACCACAAGAACAACATCCACAAGCACTACAACCAGTGCAAATACCACCACACCAAAGAAGACGCCGCAACCACAACAATCCCCACAAGCACAACAATGGCAACAAACATTGCAAACACAACCACAAAACCACAACCAGCACAACAAACACGACAACCACAACAACTACGAACCACCACAGCCATCAAAACTACCCCAACAGCCACCAAAAAACCAACAAATACACAAGCTGGCCAACAAACAAACAAAACAAACAAGCAAACAAACAAACAAAACAAGCGATCAAGCAAAACAACAAATAAACGAAACATACAAACAACAACAAACATGCAATGCAATGCAATGCAATGCAATGCAATGCAATGCAATGCAATGCAATGCAATGCAATGCAATGCAATGCAATGCAGTGCAGTGCAGTGCAGGGCAGCGCAGCGCAGTGCAGTGCGCTGCACTGCACTGCAATGCAAAGCAAGCAAGCCAGCGAGCAAGCAAGCAAGCAAGCAAGCAAGCCGGCGAGCAAGCAAGCAAGCAATCAAGCAACAACAGAAACATACTGGAAAAGCCAGAGTTTAGCTAACAGCCAGCAAGCAGCCGCAGTTAAATAGCTAATTTTTTTCAGAGGGATCAGGGATCAGTTGGGTCCTTTTGGCTTCCGGATGCCCATCTAAATGCATCCCCCCAAAATCAAGAGATGACTTCCCCCAATAAACGAGAGCAATTACCCATGCGCATCAACCCCGCATCTCCTGCTCTTCCAGCGCACCAAGGAAGGCCTCCAGGCCTCAGGCTTTGCCCTCATGAGCTTGAGCAACCTGATGATTGCCATCTCCAATCGACGGAACCGAGTGGATTCCCCACTTTGTCGGAAAAGCGCTGACACGTCTGAAGCATCCAGTGAATGCGAAGGGCATGCGAAAACGACAAACTTGCACTAGAGCTTATGATTTCAGGGGGGTGCTTGACCAAAATCAAGCATTTCGAGAACCCGCGCCCCTGATGTCAATGAGGGCTACACGGTCCGACGATGGCCGGCCTGAGTGGGCCGGAGCGCAAAGCCCCTGCCCTACTCCTCATTCACAGCTTTCTCACGACCGCAAGAATCTCTGGCTGGAGGTGGCAACTCTAGTTGTAGCTGCAACTTTGGGCTTCTCCAAAGAATGCACCACCGATTTGTCCATCCAATCGCTGAGACCCAGGACTGGGCGATGCGGGAGCTTGCTCGATGCCCAATGCCTGCCATCTGTGCGGCTGACTTGCCCAGAAAGTTGAGATGGAGTTGCGTCCCCATTTCACCCAGGAGAGTGAAAGCAAGCCAAGTGCTTTCCAGAGTGGCGCTGAAACTACAAGCAACATGTCAATCAAGTCGTCAAATTGCCGTGTCCTGTTGGCCAAGGCAACGGCAACTGAGTTGTATGAACTGTTCTTGACAGCATGAGCCCCCCAACCCAACACAAAGTTGAAACGACAGCCACTCGATCATGTTTTGCCACCCTTCCCTCACAAGCAGGCGGAGGGCGGACTGCACTGTGGACGCCACTGCAAAGAAGCACTACCTGGTCTGGCGTGCAGAGCTGGAATCTGAAAGTAAGGCGAGTTGGACACAGTAAAACAAGGTGCATGTTTTTCCTCGATATGCTCTCTTGGCGGCGTGCTATACACCTCAGGCAGGCGCGTCCAAACCAGCCGCGCGAGCTCCGCGTACGTCATGCCATGCCTCAGCCACAATGTGCACCTGTGTGATGCAAGGTCGGGGCACGAGTCTTGGAGAATGAGGATCTCGCAGAATCTCCCACCATGCAGACCCGCGCGGAGGAAGGCACGCCTGCCTGCATTGCTTGCGTTTTCCAGCGCAAGTCGAGACGTCATGCTTGCTGCTGGACCGATGGATGTAAGGGCCAGGTGCGAAAAGGCAGGCTCTGTACGGCTGCAACAGGCCGAGCCAAGAACGCACGGCCCAAGTGTGCAAAGGCACTGGCTCAAATTCCTCTGTTGCTTGTGCCCTGGGAGTCTGCTTTGACCATCTTTTACCTGCCCGCCGCTTCTCACTGTCTCACCGAGCGCAAGCTTGAGCGCAAGAGGCACCCCCCGCCTCCCGCAACCTTTGGTGTGCCAAATCAAAAACTGCTGGGTATGGCCTTAGGCTCTTGCGCCAGCACCCTGCCATTGCTAGCAAAGCTCAAGTCAAATATGGAGCATCGTTGACACGATGAAGTACCAGATGCCATGCTTGGACATTGGCCCCGCGACAATGGATTCTGACTGGTTCTACCGAGATGGCCATGTAGAACCGTAGAACCACGTACCAAAAAGAAAAGTCATATGGAATTTGTTCGCTGCTTACTTCACTTCTCTGTCCGAAATCCTTCTGTCTGGTCCTCTGTTTCTCGGCTGCCCGGCTTTCCCACAAAGTGAGCCGCTGGCCTTGGCTTAACTTCATTGAGCCCAAAAGCCTTAAGAGCAGCGATGCAAAAGCCTAGAGTTTCCCCAACGGAAATCTTTAATTCAGGGGCTCTCCGAACAGAGAATAGCTACCACTCTATAAACAGGAAACTGCCCCAAAACTCGCCTGAGGAGGCTTCTCATCAGCATGTCATGTTCTCCTGGCACCCCCCGTGAGTTTGCAGCACAAGGCAAACCACCGCAGAGGCACGTGCCCACATTTACGTGTCGCTTGGACATTCCCAGCTTCATGAAAGCTCACGTCAAGCCCAAACCTCTTCTGGGGTCAGCACCCACCGAAGGCGCTGTAACGCTGAGCTAACCTGGCATGGTGGTTGCACTGGGGACTAAGGAATTCTGAACTTTCAGTTGTCTGATTTTGGTTGCGTTCTTGCCTGACATGTTGTTTTGCTTGTGATGCGGAACTGGCTCCTGCCTACCTTGGTTTGGATAGGCGGGGGCTATTAAAAAGTTGCATTGGTCGAAGCTGCAGGGCGCAAACATGCATCACACGCCTTCCTGGCATGGGGCTGGAGTTCCCATCCGGGCGAACCACATCCGGGTTGGCCACCTCACATTCACGGACAGCCCCTTTGTCCCTCGTCCTTCTCCTCTGGCTGAAGGCCTTGCACATAGGGCCCTGGCGAGCATCGGAACCTCGGCCAGCGGTGCATGCAGATGAAATGTGGCCTAGTTGCCTAGTCCTGATTCATTTCAACTCCGCACGCCAACTACAACCAAAACAACCGCCAAGCAATCCAGCCAAACCAATTCAGTCCAATCTAAATCTTCGCGCAGCCCAATATGTCCTGTCTTAACGCTTCTAAGCTCAACACCCCGCGCTTGGCGGCAAGGCTGAGTTGTGCATCAATCTCCTGGCTGAAGCTGCCAAGAGCTTGCCCACAAGATGATTATTTGGGCAGGCCATTCCTCAATCATTCCTCAATTGCAACGACACATTCACGCAGCGTGGGACTCCTCCCAAGAGGCTGGCTGCGCCTGCCACGGAAGTGTCAAGCCAGAAATTCCCGTAAGCCCGCCGGAGAAACCAGGCTTATGCTGTTTCCACATGAGGCACCATGCTGAGAGATTTGAGTGCCAGTACCCTTGAATCTCCCAAGCTTCAAGCGCCAAGGCCTCCTTCCCGTAGAGACTGAAGCAGCCCCGCGCCAGCAGGAGGTCAGCCTCCAGCCAAGGAATATTGAGGGCCTGACCTTGTGACAACCATGAGCTCTGATGGCTTCTTCGAGCCCTCAGAAGGCTGACCTACGGCCACTTTTCCTCCCCTCCGATCCGCCTCCTCAGCATTGGCCTTAGCTGGGGCCAGTTCCGCTGAGAAGCCCCGCGAAGTTGCAAGAAAGCACTTCTGACACGTTGTGAAGCCAAACATGCGTAGCCGTGCGTAGCAATGCACAAAGGCGATGCAAACGTGTGACAATTCCAAGCTGCAAGCAGCCGGGTAGGACCAACGTGTCCTCAGGCGAGCGCTACCTTCAGGTCCAAGGGTTCCAGGTACCTCAGCTAGGAGGCTAAGGCTCAAAGCCACCCCGATCGAATTGGAAATCTGGAGATGCGTGAATGTGACCGAGCCCCCCAAATGCCCCAGCATGGAGTGCATTGGTGTGCATGGGATTCTTGGACACTAGGCGGCCCTTGCAGGTACAGTAAGTTTGGATATCCTGCTCCATTAGGCAAGCACATCAAGGCCTGGCTCCGTTGCTTCCGGAACCTCGCTTGAATTCCCGAGCCCGGGACTCCACATCGTCTTCACCGTTCCCAAAAGTGAGGACGGACTGCCGACATTTGGGTTGCGACCGTGACCCTCTTGGGATGGCAAATGTGGCCCTGACACAGCTCCACAACGCAGAAAGCAATTGCAGACCTCTTGGGATCCTTGCCCGGCAACACTCCGGCAACTCAAACCGCACTTGTCTGTGTTTCCGACGTTTCACTTGTTGGTAAGGCTCCTTCCCTTGTTGCTTGTCGCATTCACCTGGCCTTTGCCGATCGCACCTCTGGGGCGACCTCGACCTGCCAAGCACGAGTCGCATGTGAGCGCTCATGTGCGAATGTGACAAAGCCTACGAGGGAGGCCATGTTGCCGCTAGCTTTTGCCAGAAATGACGGGAATAGAAAGGAAACCAAAGCTGCCACGGTTGCGCCATTCCTAAATTTGTTGTAGTGTCAGCAAATGACACAATATTGAATCTTGAACAACATTTGGGGCGCAGTGAGAAAGAGCGGCGTAGTTGTGAATGGGTTTTGCATCGCATCACAAGGCTTCGAAGCAGCAGTGTGGATCAGGCAGCTGCGAGCCGCTGCCCCCAGCAAAGCCAGAAGCATCCAGCTGGCTCTGCAATTCGGGCCCTTACTTCAACCTATTCACGCTGCTTTCATCCCTTAGGGGTTTTCATGTCCTTCTGTGGGTGGTCAAGCTTGCAAGGCCTCAAGGCCTCATTCAATTCCTGACTGCCCATTCCTTACCTCCGCGCCTCCGCCTCTCCAGCCAGGATGCGCCAAGCCACCTCGCCGCTGGTGATGAGGTCCACGTACAGGTCCGGGCCTCAGGTGACTGGGCAAACGACTCTGGAAAGCAAACCAGTTTTCGCAGTGCTCCCCATTCCTCTAAACCGATGCATCCTCCAGGCTGTTTCGAGGGCCCCTATGAGCAGCTCCTTATTCTTTCCGCCCCCCCCCCCCCCCGCGCGGAGCATTGTCTCCAGACACAGCTGCCACTCAATCTTGACTTCAGCCTTGTCCTGAAAAGAACAAGAAAGCCGCTGAGAGGCATCATTTTGGAAGCACGCTTATCAACGCAGTCGTTGATCCTGAAAAAGGATTGGAGTCGAAAATGGAATTCTGAGCAAGCCGCATCATTCCAAGCACGCGGCCAATGCCCAGCTTTGCCAAAGCCGCCCGGTTGGTCCTCAACCGCACAGTGGGCCCTCTTGAAGGCCTTCCAATATCTTCCAATTGAACCATGGTACCCTCGTCAGTGACCATGGGATGAAGGGTCGCCGCCTGCCTAAGGGTTGTGGATGTTGTGGATCCATTGGGCGGTACTTCTGCTTCAAACGTTTCCGTTGTACATGCAGGGGCCGGGCAAGGCACGCGATCAGTCTCTCACCAATGCGGCCATCATGTTTCTTGGACAGCTTGGGGCAAAGATGTGTATCATATCGGTTGCGAACAAATGTCCGCAAGTAGTCTCCAAGCTGACCAGGGCAAAGCAGTCCACTCTGCGCCCTGGGGCGCCGGCGCCCGACGCCGGGAGGAGTTGGAGAGGAAGAGTACCGGCTTCCTGCATGGGCCGATGGGTATGGGAACGCTTCTGGGGCCTTGGGATCCGAATTGGTGCCAGAGGAAAAGTTCCCAACTAGCGGCCATGCCCCCCCCTTCGCTTCGCGGTGCGTTGCACTCACCTCTGGGAGTCACTAGGAGTGCTGCCTGGTGCTTGGATCGCATGACGTCTCAGAAGCTGTGTTCGGAGCTTGCCATGAACAAGAGGTTGAGAGCATCTTAAATACACGGTGATGCACACGGCGGCGCGCATGGCATTGAAGCCCTGACGACCGACAAGGTACTTGAGACAAGCGTGTGGGCCGAACATTTGTAGACGGTTGGTTCTCAGAGGTTGAATGGCGGAAGCAGTAGAGCTTGAAATCACAGCAGCCAAAATGCAACCGACTGCAGTTGGGGTGCCCAAGGCTTCGGCATTGAAGATCATCGAAGCGCGGTTCTAGCATGTTCTAGCCAATTTACCTTCAAACCTGGCCTGCAGCCGGTCCGTCTTACTATCCTCCTTCGAGAACCCGTTCTTTGCTGGAGGAATCATCGAATCTACTGTCATGCCGTCACTTCATTTGGACCAACACCCTTTTCACTATTCACTGGCACCTCTTGCTCCAACACAAACGCAGCACTTCCACTCGCGGTGCTTTTCCTGGCTCAGCAGCTGTTCTAGGCAAAGCATCAGGTGGCCCAGGTATCCTGCCATCAAGCCTCAAGCAGCAGGACTTCGACTTCAAGTCCGGCGGCCCTGTGACCCGACCAAGGCTCCTTCGAGGAAAGAGCGTTGACAGGGCTGGAGTGTCACTGAAGCTGCCGCTGTGCCAAGAGAAAAAGATTGTGAGACAGGGCGCGACCATAAAGGCGACAATGTGCCGTGAGGTGCCTGTAGCCAGCATACACCATTGCCGTAACATTTGAAGACAAGATGCCTAATCACCGGCGTGATGCTGGCTACGCGGCCAAAAAATGTGACAACATGTACCCCTGGGCATGTGTCCATGCAAACGACCATAGAAGCCTAGATGCACAATGGATACATGAAGAGTCTATAGGAATCAGCTTTGCCACGGGTACCAAGAGTTATGCCGTACAGGCCGGCGTGAAACTTGGCCGACGCACCCGGCCGACCATGGCGAACTTGGTCGACACTGCTCTGAGGTCGCGGTGCAAATTGCTGACATGGAGATTCAGACGCCGGGCATGCTTGTAGCTTTCCACACTGTCTAAGTAGAGTGCAGGAACATTGACAAGCACCACACCGCTATGTAGTGTGTGTGTGTGTGTGTCTGCGTGTCTGCGTGTCTGTGTGTCTGTGTGTCTGTGTGTGTGTGTGTCTGTCTGTGTGTCTGTCCGTGTGTCTGTCTGTGTGTCTGTCTGTGTGTCTGCGGCGCGTCTGGGTGTCTGTGTGTCTGCGCGCGTCTGCGCGCGTCCGAGCGTGTCTGTGCGTGTCTGTGCGTGTCTGTGCGGCGCGCGTCTGTGCTTGTCTGTGCGTGTCTGTGCGTGTCTGTGCGTGTCTGTGCGTGTCAGTGTGTGTCAGTATGTGTCTGTGTGCGTGTGTGTCTGTGTGGGTGTGTGTGTCTATGTTTATGTGTGTTTGTGTGTCTGTGTGTCTGTGTGTCTGGACGTGTGTGCATCTGTGTGTCTGTGTGTCGGGCTGTGTCTCTGTGTGTGGGTGTGTCTGTGTCTGTGTGTTTCGGGGGTATGATTCGGGGAGGTCCCACCTTCTGCCTTTTGAAGCAACTCAACACACCAAAAAAGGACAAACCGGTGTGTGTGTGTGTCTGTCTCTGTGTGTGTGCGTCTGTCTCTCTGTGTGTGTGTCTGTCTCTCTGTCTGTGTGTGTCTGTCTCTCAGTCCGTGTGTGTCTGACTCTCGGTGTGTGTCTGTCTCTCTGTGTGGGACTGTCTCTCTGTGTGTGGGTCTGTCTCTCTCTGTGTGTGTAGTGTGTAGTGTGTAGTGTGTAGTCTGTAGTGTGTAGTGTGTAGTGTGTAGTGTGTGGTGTGTGGTGTGTAGTGTGTAGTGTGTAGTGCGTAGTGCGTAGTGCGTAGTAGGTACTGTGTGTGTGTGTGTGGTGTGTGGTGTGTACTGTGTAGTAACTAGTGTGCAGTGTGTAGTGTGCAGTGTGTAGTGTGTAGTCTGTAGTGTGTGGTGTGTAATGTGTAGTGTGTAGTGTGTAGTGTGTTGTGTGGTGTGTGGTGTGTGTGTGTGTGTGCGTGTGTGTGTCTGTGTCTGTGTGTCTGTATGTGTGTGTGTGTGTGTCTTTGTGTCTCTGTGTGTGTCTGTGTGTCTGTGTGTTTGTCTGTGTGTGTTTGTCTGTGCGTGTCTGCGCGTGTCTGTGTCTGTGTGTCTGTGCGTGTTCGTGTGCGTGCGCGTTGTGCGTGCGCGTGCGCGTGCGCGTGCGCGTGCGGGTGCAAATGCGAATGCGGGTGGGGATGGGAATGTGGGTGCGTGCGTGTGCGTGTGCGTGTGCGTGTGCGTGGGCGTGGGCGTGGGTGTGGGCATGGGCGTGGGCGTGGGCGTGGGCGTGCGCGTGCGAGTGCGCGTGCTCGTTTGCGTGCGCGTGTGCGTGTGCGTGTGCGTGCGCGTGCGCGTGCTCGTGCGCGTGCGCGTGTGCGTGTGCGTGTGCGTGTGCGTGTGCGTGTGCGTGTGCGTGCGCGTGCGCGCGCGCGTGCGCGTGCGCGTGCGCGGGCGTGCAAGGCGCGCGTGCGCGCTTGCGCGCGCGCACGCGCGCGCGTGTGCGCGCGTGCGCGCGTGTGTGCGCGTGTGCGCGCGTGCACGCGCGCGTGCGCGTGCGCGTGCGTGTGCGTGTGAGTGTGCATGTGCGTGTGCGCGTGCGCGTGCGTGTGCGTGCGCGTGTGTGCGTGTGCGTGTGTGCTTGTGTGCGTGTGTGTGCTTGTGTGCGTGTGCTTGTGTGCGTGTGCTGGTGTGCGTGTGCTTGTGTGCTTGTGTGCGTGTGCTTGTGTGTGCGTGTGCTTGTGCGTGTGCTTGTGTGTGTGTCTGTGTGTGTCTGTGTGTGTCTGTGTGTGTCTGTGTGTGTCTGTGTGTGTCTGTGTGTGTCTGTGTGTCTGTGTGTGTGCGTTTGTGTGTGCCTGTGTGCTTGTGTGTCTGTGTGCGCTTGTGTGTCTGTGTGTCTGCGTGTCCGTGTCCGGGTCCGGGTCCGTGTGCGTGTCCGTGTCCGTGTCCGTGCGAGTGTGCGTGTGTGGGTCCGTGTGAGTGTAAGTGGTGATGGTGTGGGCGTGGACATGGGCATCGGTGTGGGTGTCAGTTTTGCGTGTGCCTGCTCGTGCGCGCGCGCGTGCGCGTGTGTGTGTGTGTGTGTGTGTGTGTGTGCGTGCGCGTGTGCGTGCGCGTGCGCGTGTGCGTGCGCGGGCGCGTGCGCGTGCGCTTGCGCGTGTGCGTGGGCGTGCGCGCGTGCGCGCGTGCGCACGCCTGCGCGCGTGCGCGCGCGTGCGTGTGCGCGTGCGTGCGCGTGTGCGTGCGCTTGTGTGCGTGTGCTTGCGCGCGTGAGCTTGTGTGCGTGTGCTTGTGTGCGTGAGCTTGTGTGCGTGTGCTTGTGTGCGTGCGCTTGTGTGCTTGTGTGCGTGTGCTTGTGTGCTTGTGTGCTTGTGTGCCTGTGTGCTTGTGTGCTTGTGTGCTTGTGTGCGTGAGCTTGTGCGTGTGCGTGTGCTTGTGCTTGTGCTTGTGCTTGTGCTTGTACTTGCGCTTGTGCTTGTGCTTGTGCTTGTGCTTGTGCTTGTGCTTGTGCCTGTGCTTGCGCGTGTGCGTGTGCGTGTGCGTGCGCGTGTGCGTGTGGGTGGGTGGGTGCGTGGGTGCGTGGGTGGGTGGGGTGTGTGTGTGTGTGTCTGTGTCTGTGTCTGTGTCTGTGTCTGTGTCTGTGTCTGTGTCTGTGTCTGTGTCTGTGTGTGTCTGTGTGTCTGTGTGTGTGTGTGTGTTTGTGTGTGTGTGTGTGTTTGTGTGTGTGTTTGTGTGTGTGTGTGTTTGTATGTGTTTGGGTGTTTGTGTGTGTGTGTGTTTGTGTGTGTTTGTGTGTGTGTTTGTGTGTGTTTGTGTGTTTGTGTGTGTGTTTTGTGTTTGTGTGTGTGTGTTTGTGTGTGTGTGTGTGTGTTTGTGTGTGTGTGTGTGTTTGTATGTGTTTGTGTGTTTGTGTGTGTGTTTGTGTGTGTTTGTGTGTGTGTGTGTTTGTGTGTGTTTGTGTGTTTGTGTGTGTTTGTGTGTGTGTTTGTGTGTGTTTGTGTGTGTGTGTGTTTGTGTGTGTGTTTGT